ATAGTGGAGCAATAGATAAGTAATCACTACACCAGGTTTTCTCGATCTGAGGTGACATTTCAGAAGGCGCAAGGAAAAGTGAATATTAAGAAAGAAAGAACCATTGACTTTTAGTAGAAAATGTTGGGAAACCATGCTGCGCAACTAACTGGCCAATACAGAGGAGAAATGGATGGCTTAAATATCAACAACATGCAGAAACCTTTAATATTCTTAACCAGTAAAAGGACCGTTGACATTCAATATTATTATTCTTCATATAATAGAGGAGCTTTAATATCAGTAAAATAGAAGTGTAACTACCTATGGTACTTTGCTAATGACAAAACAAATTGTATTCAAGATTCTATCAGACATTATTTGTTTTACCTCTTGGAATGAGACAATTTGGAGTTTGACATGCTGAGTAAGGTTCAATAAATACTGACTTTTATTTATCAATACTAATAAAGAAGTGGCGTGATTTATTGATATCACAATTCTACATTAGACTATATTTAATTACATTGGTATATCTTACTGATGCATTAATTGAGAAAAGTATTTGTGTAAGACATTCTATTCCTCTTATCTGTACTGTTGCTCAATTGGCTTTCCCCAAACAATGTGCATCATTTTTCCATGTGCTTTATAACACATTCTTTGTAATGACCAGTTCATCAGAATTAATAAGTACCAACGCAGGTTAAACCTAATAATATACCAGGGAAAAATATTCTTCATTTAATTCAAAGTTTCGACCTAATGTTTTATGTAAGCATAATTTTCAAAAATGCTTAAAACAGCAAATACATCTGTTGATCAAAGGCTTGTGTAACAGACCTGTTTACCCGTAAACTCTTAAAATCTTACAATATCATCACAAAATCGTTCAATACATTATCTTAATAGTAAAAAATAAACATAAAGTATATATAAAGTATACACCTCAAAATCGTACATTGTATGCCACAATTGTAAGAGTGAACAGGTCTGGTGTAATCGCTCAAAATATACCATATGAGCTTGTAATCCTCCAAGTGTTTGTTAATCTTTCTTGTTCATATTAGGTTGTGAAGTCAGAGTTATTAATAAGTAGAATACCTAATACAGCATTTTTTTGACCTCATGACATAGAGGCATTGGCCTTCATTATCTTACCTTGACACAGAAACATTGGTTTTGATTCTCCTACCATAATATAGAAGCATTGGCCTTGATTCTCTTACCATGATACAGAAACATTGGCCTTGATTCTCTTACCATGATACAGAAAAATTGGCCTTGATTCTCTTACCATGATACAGAAAAATTAGCCTTTAATTTCTTACCATGACACAGAAGCATTGGCCATGATTCTCTTACACAACATTATTGACCATGATTCAAGGTCCTATGCTACACATCAGTTTTGGACCTATAGTAATTAACACCAAAATCATATAACTTTTCAGTTGTAACTAGACTTACCTTGTATACTTGCTTGATTATCCTGGACCAGCGCTATATGTTGATTTGTCAATCTCCAGACAGGGGGTCGCAGCTTTACTTCAATGCTTGCACACACTTGACTCTCCCCATGTAGAAAGTAGTGGAAGCTAAAACTAAGATGTACACTGAAATAAATAAAGTAAACATAAATTAAGAATGCCAGTTAAACGTAAAAAAATGTTTTAAACACATATACATTATATTAGTGATGGGACGATTAATCGGAATCGTATCGGAATAATCGAAATATCAGGATTTATCCAAAGCATAGAGAATCGGTATCGGAGCTGAATAATTCAGACCCGATTCCGATACCAAAACGATTCTTAACTGATTAACTGCCGTAAGCCGGTGAACTCAATACTACAATGAGTAATTATAATTAATATTTTATTTTTTGTTGTTTGGAATTAAACAATAATTATAATAATTTTACCTTTTCTCAAAAAAATTATATAAAATGTTATTTTTTGAAGGTAAACTTTTTTCTATTTTGTATGCACATGAATAATAATTTCATATGTATATTAAATATACAGTTTTTACATACACATTTTGAAATTTTTATCAAAGACACTAGCTAACTAGCTACATCTTTGTATTATTAAAATGGAATTATTGATAGATGTGTTTATATAAAATCTTTCCAAGACATTGTTATCTAGCATATTGTAAAGCTTCAATAGGAAGTTAATAAACTTTTCTAATCAATTATCAACTTTTATACTAATTAAATATGTTAATACCTGGGCACAGTAATACATTATGTAATAATGGCCAGGAATCGGAAGCGGATCGGGATAATTGGGTAGAATCGGAATCGTTAAAAATTTTGGTATCGTCTCATCACTACATTATATATTGGTCAAAGTATCAACTATTCAAAAGATTTTTTTTACAAATGATAGAAATAATTTTTGTTTATAATACAGTAAGGAGTATTGTAAAGATTGATTCATTAACAATAATTTTGGTAAAAAGTACAGAATAAGACTGGGATAATATAAAATGAAATTAATATATATATAAGAACAATAACACAATAAATTTTATTAAATAAGCTGTCTTTGAATGCAATAAGATCAATTTAAAAGTGGATCAAAAATAAGTGTAAGTGAAAGACATACCCTGTTTCAGAGTTCCCATGTTCATATGGTAAAACATACCATCTACCCAATCTCACAAAATTTTTTGAGAGTAGACTCCTGTAAAATAAAATCAACACAAAGGCAAGATAAATAAGCTATTCAAACATGGAAGCTGCAAATTACTAATATTTAATATTTCTGGATTTTTACATAAATGCAATGACTTATACATGTAACTTTTTCTTGCTATGGGTATCGAATTATACAGATGAAACCAGGCTTTACACACCTTTCTATTAGATTGTGCAGTGCCTTGAATAGTAATGTGCGACATTCATAGGTCAGTCCATTGTCTTTATCTTTATCTCTATCCCATGTACCACTTTCAACATCTGAGGACAAAACATGGAGACACTTTTTATTTGAGATAAATAAAATTTTGATAACTTGTAGAAATGTTAAAACTTCCATACATTAAAAAAAACAATGTACTGGTTTCAAAATAATAAATTGAAACATATTTTTAACCCCATAAAGAATAAAAAAACAACATTAACTTCTTGAATATTTTCTTAAAAAACTTTTTTGGTAAAATTTAATCAGGATTACAATGGGGAAAAAAAATTGATATTACATCTTTATAGAACTAGTCTACACACAATAAACATAGCTTTTTCTTAATGGAAGTATGTTTAAAAAAAACACTTCATCATCAATGGCACTATAGCCTAAAAAAACCTGACACTATACATATAATTTTATCACACAAACAAAATGAATCACTGTCAGTGCTACCACAACATGCAACAAATGAAGCAGTAAATTGAACTTATTTAGGATAAAAAATACTTTGAATTACCTTTTAGGCCTAGGTCTGGTGTGAGTGCCAATCGAAGAGATTCTGGTTCATCCCCATACCAGAAAATCCACAACTCTTTGCTGCTGTTGAAATCTGGATGGCGTTGCTCTGGATCTCGCTGCACTCTACGCCATACACACAAGATGTCATTGTTAATGCAGCGGGAGAAGCCAATGAGAACTGGGTCATCAAGTGGTTCCACATTTATATTATCAGATGTTAAGCGGCGCCATTTTATACCACACAAATCAGTCTGGAAATAATTTACAAGAATAAAACACTAATAATTTAGGTGCATAAAGTTTAATAATAATCTACTTAATTTGCTCAAGTGCTCCCCAGAAATAATACTTAAATTAAGAGTGGAATCCCAGTTGGAGTAATTTCATGATAGTTCTAGTAAAAATGTTTAATTGGCATTGGGAATAGTCCTGCCTCTAACTACGACTTGGGTAGGCGTAAAGAAGGTCTACTGACGAGGCCATTATTAGTATTAGCATTATTTCCTAGTCCATTGTTTTTAAAACAGCAGATTAATACTCTGATGGTCATTATTTTTAGTCTTAGGTCAGGTATAGCCTGTATATTATTTTGATTATTAAGAGAAGGCCTAGCCAGACTATTACAATAACTACTGACTACTGGACTACAATTAAAAACAATTTAACTAGCCTAGGGCTATCTTTTGAGCTCATCATGAGGGACTCATTAGTTGGTTTAATATGCTTATCATGGATTATGAGACCTTTTTAAGCACAATTAAAGAATTAGAGACCAGTAGCCTAAGCCACTGTGGGTAGTCTTAAAAAAATTGACTTGACAAGCAAGTCTAACACTAACTACTAAAACACTTAAAAATTATTATTTTTTAGTTGGAAAGGGTAAATTAAAAAAGGTTGATAAATTTGAGAACTGCTAAAATAGCTATTCTTTGAAAAAAATAAATAAATAAATAAATCGTTCATATTAATTCATGATTGAGGAACGACTGATGCACCCAACTAGTTTGGAGCTTAAATTTTAGAAAAAAAATAACTACCAGGACATGTTTTGTTCTCCCTTTACTTTATTTAGGTTTAACTGTATTTAAATAAAAGATGCAAACAAAACATCTAAAACAGTAACAACGTTTATTAGCCACATTAAATAAATACACATAATTTATAAAAAGTTATTCAATTGAAGCATTTCTACGAGTTCAAATGTCACGATTGACATAACATCCCGATATCTGACGTCTTTAGGATGAAAGTTTTAAGTCAAATTAGTTGAACAAGATCTTTACGACTTACCAAAGCAAATAGATTTGTGAGGCAATCCTCCAGAGAGCAGCCGTTTCCAGACGGATTTGGGTGACTCATAGTCACTCCATATTATTTTAAACCTAATTTATATCCGATAGAATGATATGATTAAGGCCCAATATGAAATCTCAATAATTATCGTCCATCATCGAATTCTTCACATAATATGGCTGACTGTAATGGCGACTCGATGGGAACAACAAGGCGGTAAGGAAAACTTCCTGTGATTGGTCAATTTCAGTCACATGCAGGTTGACCCAGATTAAATTGTAGCAACATGGCAGCCAACGAGTACTACCCACTTCCATTGAGTATCAAAACATTATATTTAACGGTATCTTATCATAGTTAGAATCTGACAAATAATTTTTTTGGCCCTCAAAATGGTTCAAATTTTCTGGACCATTCTCTATATAGCCCTTGGATTCTGGATTTTTAGCAGGTACGGCTCTGTTTGTGTAGGCTGTCAGCTGATAATAATAACCTGGAAATCACCGAGTTAACTAGTAACCAGGAAGAGTGAAATCGAAAGTTGATTTTGTTACTGATTGATGGAGGGGAGAATTACACGTAATAATTATCTTCTTATTGATATGAGCTTTAAAAAAATAAAATAAATGAATTTCTCTAAAAGCGCAACTTTTCTAATAATAGTCCTACCCACAAAACTTCAAATTTTTAATTAAATTTGTCATTTATTATTATTTCACTTGAGCTTGAAAATTTGTCAAATGATTGACAAATGACATGAGACATGAGTGTCATGATGACATTTAACACTGACACTCATTTACTTTTACTTTTACTAATAAATTATTTAAATTTAGACTATTATTAATACACAAGTATAAGTTGTCATAAATCAGACTTTCTTTAATTTAACAACTGGGCTTTAAATTTGAAGTTCGCCATATCCTCATCAGCTGCGCTGGGCTTAAACTACTAGTCAACTAGTATTACTAACTTAATTGTGTAGTTACAGTAGTGTAGTGGTATACTAACTGCTATTTATCTCCTTATACTTATGAGATTGTAATTATAGTTTTAAGTCTTATTCTAATAAATGACTATACAATTTAACTGTGTGAGAACATTGACGTAGTGGATTTGATAGTTATTTTTGACTCTGTCTTTTCAGTTTTTCTTTTCATATATTAATATTGTTAGTTGACTTAAATTTGTTGAAAGACTAAATCATGTTATTAAATTATTAGTTTTTCAGATTTAAATTAACTCAAATCAGGATTATTTTTGTTACATCTCCCAAAACAGGATTGATAGATGTAAACTTATTAAAGGCAAACCATACAGTCGGTGCCAGATTGAGCTAAATAGAGGCCCTGGGCTATTTAAATTTTGAGGCACCTTGCAATCACAACCCCCCCCCCCCCAAGACCCCTTCCATAAAACAAAATAATAAAAAATAAATAAATAAAATAATTATTACTAAAGTAAATTACGAATGCACTTGTGAGTTTGCACTTCACCACACACTTGTTAGTATAATATTATTTTAATTCTTTCTAATATTGCTCCATCCCCACTCCCCGGATGATTAAAAGAAAATCCAAATAATCACTCTAAAAGTCAACATAGTCACTAACCAAGTTTAAGTTCCATAGCATATTATAATTGATTTTTGCACATGAGAAATACTTTACATTTTTTGTGTTAAATTGTTGTAGTTTAAAAATGTTTGTCTTTTTTAGAATATTTATGTATATGCTGAAAAAAATGAATATTAACTTAGAAGTAAAAAATCAATTCCTTCTAATCTTATGTTACTCAAAAAAATTTACAAATTACCTGGAGTGTGTTATAAAGATCGTAAAGTCTTCCTGTCAGTGCAACACTAAATATTACTTAAATCATTATAAAGTCCCTGTGACCCCCTGTCCCACTCTGATAGAACTGTAGAGAAGAAGATAGATATTTAACTGTTTCAGAAAATATGTTAATAAATGAACTCATACAAATTATTTTCTTAAACTACATCAAGATTTAATTCTCTAATTTTGTTTTAAAAACCTCCTATTGAATTCTAAAAATTTGCTTAAGTATTAATTCTGATTTATAAATAGTTTTACTAACTTTATTTAAATAAAATAAAACAATATCATTGACTTTAATCCCTATTCTTCTATTTTGGTTTGAGCTTGTGACAAATATATAGGCATGAATGAGATTGCAAAAATGATTTTAAAACTACTCATCTCAGTGGAGGATGAAAATAAATTATGAGTGTCATTGTTAATGTCACAACAGTTTACTTTATCAAAACAACAATCAGCAGCAGAATTGAATTTAAAGCTCTTTAGTGCAATAATTTAACACTAACTCAGCCATGCTTTCTCCAGTTCAGTAAATATTTCCTTTCATATCGTAGCTGCCATCGTGTAAGTCTCTGTGCCATTTGAAAATTCTTTAAAATTTAGCTATTCTATACAATTTAATGTATTTTCTTAGTTTCTATGATTTTATGCTTCAATCACAACTGTGGGCCCTTTAAATATTTGAGACCCCGCCTGCAGGAATTGAGGTAGCTCACGAGGTTTCTGTTAATAACACTATTATGTGCTATATTATATTTAAAGTAAATCATGTGATATATTTTTGTAAATTATTTTTTTTTTAGTTTTATATTTATTATATTTTTTTCCATCGCAGGCATCTATACTTATAAATTTTAGGCCCCTTAGATGTTGGGGGCCCTGGGCTTAAGACTACTTAGCCTTTAGGAAAATCTGGCACTGCATGTAGTCTGGTTTAGTTACTTTATTTGTTCAAGGTTTAACTTAAAGCTTGTGGCCTCCTAGTTTATTTCTGTGGCAAAGTTATTTGTATTACAAATAGTGCATTGAAATCACACTTAACATAAACATATGTGCTCTTTCCTTTATGCAATCAAAATGCTCCTCAATCAGGCCAGTTGATAACCTTGTTTTAGGCAATCCAGATGCCCCAATTATTTTAAATTTTTATGACAGATGAAGTTTGTTGTTAAAATTATTATGAATTACTTAATATCTACTAAAACTAAATTAATTCATACAAATTGTAAGTAAGTCTGGAATGTTAAATTGAAGGCTTTCTTTCACTTAACATTTACCTATTATTATATATAGGCTACAGTTAAAATTTTAATTATGTATTTTTTTCAATTTAAAAATAAAGAAAAATCTCTACTATTTTAACCATCTTAGTGTAAATCATTCTTTTTAATAAGCTTAAATGTAAGTTTTAATAATGAAATGTTATAAAGAAACAACAAAACTTAGAAGTATTGAATGAATTCTATGTAATAATGATCATTAAATCATATTAATTAAAGAAATATTTAAAACAAATTTTTTAATAAAAAAAGTAACAAATTATATTTTTTCAGGGCAGTAGCATTTATCATTCAATGGCTATTAAAAAGATACCTGGATGTCACACTCAGGTTTGGCAAGGTTGGACTTCTCAATTTCGGAAAAGTTCAAATGACGCTTCAAAGAGATGTCTCTGTGCATGTGGTTTGTATCTTTTTGTGTGGAAACTTCCACATATATTCATTGCCTTGTCAATTAATAACCTTTTCTAAACTGTACAGAAAGTTCCTGCAAACACAGTGTATACAATTCATTTTGCTACACACACAAGCTTCATTTAAATCAAAATGAATTCCATAGCAAACAAATATGCCCATAAACCATAGCCTTGCAAAATGCATATTTTTTAGCATTATGGAAATACATTTTTTTGGGTATTTTGGTGGATTTTAATTTATATCATTTAAAAAAATTTTTTTTTTTAATTGGAAAATTATTTTGTTCATAAATATTTAAACATATATTATTTTGTATAATTCATTTTTTGAAACATTGAAATATATTAATATGAATTTGATTGTTCTCTCTTAATTTCTCAAGCACTGGAATCACAATTTCTAAATAATTTTATGTACAATATTGATGACTCAGTACATTAGTATGTATTATTTACATTAGAAATAAAAATACTAACATTTATGGAAACAATGATTTCAGGAACTCGAAAAAATCTGGCTCTCAAGTTCATTTGTCAATCCTGATGTCCGGTAAGTAATTTAAAAAATCGAATTCACCTTTCATAACACCTTTAATTACTAGTGTGTTGATTTAGCAAAACAAAAATTTGTAATCTTTAAAAATAATTATAAGTGAAACTTTTGTGTCATGTATTAAAGATATGCTCATCTTTTTAAAAAAATTTTCAGTAAACCAGTTGTGATATGTATTGAAGATATGCGTATTCAAGTGGATGTTAGCAATCACGGTGAGCAGCCAAATAGGACAACACAAGACCCTGTGCAGCCAACACAAGGACAACCATTGGTTCATCTTATTCGGAAAATAATGTCAATAGGATCCGTAAGTGAATGCAAATTATTTTGTCTTATAAATTTAAACTTTCTAACCCTTGCTACTTAGATTATTATAATTTCTGACAGAAGTGTGTCAATTATAATTACCCATCCTGTTTCTCAGATGAAGAGTTATTCTCTCCAAATCTTTATCACAGATGTTTAAACTTTTCAATCATTGAATCTCAGATACCTGTAAATAACATTTGATCCCTCAATTAATGTACTGCACGTTCTATAAATTGATTCTAAAAATTAATGTTATAAAAGTATTAAATATATTAGGCAAAAGGCATTAAAATTGTATCACATTTAAAATTTGAGTGATATTTAATTATTTTTTTTTTATGTTAAAAGCTATCCCATTAATTTTTATTATACAGTAATTAATATTTTCTACCCTTTCCGCATTGAAATTAAATTAAATTATTATTCATAAAATATATGAAAAGTTTGAAGATTTTCTTTCTTCTAACGTACCATTAAACAGTTTTGAAATTTTAATCTGTTTGGCAGATAGAATGAACAATGTATAACAAAGCACTGAAAATCAGCATACAAAGAAAAACGAAACCAGAGCTAGTGATACTAACAATATTACATTTAATGATACTTTTAAAAGACAAATTCAAATATACAGCAACCAAAAACTATATCAACTTACAGCACAGCAAGTGAAAAGGTACAATCCTAAAAAAATACAAATGTTAATTTACCCACTGACAAAAAGAGTACAATCTTGCAATTATATAATGTCTCGTATATGTCTAGGAATATAGCAAAAATCTCTCATGGCTAGGAAAGCTGCCAGCCTATTTATAAGGATTAAATTAGAACCATCCAGAAAAGAAATTCTAGAAATTGCTTCTCCTGATAGCATTCATTAGAACAAATGGAACGAATTGAGCGGAAAGCAACTTTTACCAATCAAGGGAGGGGAGGGTAAAAGGAATGTGCACAGTACTTTTAATCAGAGATTTTAATATCGAAACATAAGGAGACAAGTGGTGGTGGCTGAAATTAAGCCTATTAAGTCATAATAAATCCTTGATGAAAAATGAATATGTACAATGAAATTAAAGAAAAACATTTTAATTTATTTGGAGCAGTAAAAGAATCTTATGTCATCTTAACTTTCAATATCTTCTTTTCAATACAGTATGGTGGTCTAAGAATCAACAATATCACTGTGATGCTTTTAAAAACCATGGTTCCAGATTGTTTGATTCATTTCTCAAGTCCAGAAGTCTCCTTAGACATAAGTGCTGCCTATGATAAGTTAGTGTCATTAATAAGTTAGTTAAATTACTTCCTTTACACTGTATTAGGTACATGATGTTAGCGCCTATGATAAGTTTGTGTCATCTGTCGAAAGGTTACAAAACTTGACTTCTTTCTCTCTTCTATGTATTTCACTTGATTCCCACAAATTATTATTATTAATATATTGAATTTGAATTAATTGTCTAAAAGGATTTTTTGTGTGTTTTTTGTGTGGCTTTATCCTTAGATATGAAATATGTGTCAATTTGAACAACTTTGGATGTAAGGCCCTCAGGACATCTGCTGAAACCCCAGTAAGACTATAATAGTTATTTCTAATATAAAAATGTAATCTAGTGAATTACAACACTTTAATATAAGACATGCATCCATATATAATAATATGGAATCTTCTGACCAAAGAAAACCTTCTAATTAAAAACAACCTCTAAGAACTTTGTTTTATAAATCCTTTATAAAATGTAATATCGAGCAATATGGGGGGGGGGGGGGGGTCAGGAAAATTTGAAAAAACATACATACAAGTAATGCACTTTGTAAGAATCCCAATTAGTGCTCCTCCCCAAAGGCTCACACCTGCACATTTTTTTCATGCCCTTGAACTATATTAATATTCTAATGACCCACTTGCTTTTACACCACAGATTTATTTCACCAACTATTTCAGAAAAACAAAACAAAATAGTATGCACCAAATACACTTGCGATATTTTTTTAAAAGAATCTCATTTAGCGCAGTTATCTGGAATTTTATTTAGTGAAAACAGTGTCATTATATTTCCTTCATCTTCCCCTTGAAAAACAGGAAAAACTGGTTTTGGGGGCTGGGCTTAAAATTTGATAGAATTTGTGGTTATCGGCAAAGTTTCAGCTCGGGGGGTTGATGGGTAGCCATCAGCAGATTTTGCTAGCCACGAAGAAAAGCGGAGTTAATATAAAGGATTTAAAAAGAACTGAGGCACTGATCAAATGCAATAGCCATGGAAGGCATATGGTGATGGTTTGGTCATGTTTGTAGAATGCCATCAAGCTCTCTAACCAAGACAGCACTTAGATGGAAAGCCCAGGAAAAACAAAATTAAGAAGAAGGATCTGTGGAATAAAAGCTGCCGCTGCCGACAGCTCCCACAGTAGGGGCGATGTGTACCTTGGTTATTGCTTTCAACACCGATAGTCACACAGTGGTCTAATAATAATATCTATACATTAGTTTTAAAAGTCACTTACATTATACTAGCTGTGATACAATGTTTCAGCTTACATTATACTAGCTGTGATACAATGTTTCAGCTTACATTATACTAGCTGTGATACAATGTTTCAGCTTACATTATACTAGCTGTGATACAATGTTTCAGGACCCTGGACAACAGAACTGCCTTGGAGAGTTTTCCTTCACATTTAAGATGGATGCCAAAGTTGACAAAACTGACCCCATCAAGCTAACGGTCAGAAATGAAGCTATTTCATACATTTATAAGTTATTTTCTTTTTTTTTTTATCTGGAAAATAAAGTAGTTAAGAGTTATGAACTTGAATAAAGAATAACACTTGCTGTTAAAAGAAGATATTTTCCTTTTCTAATCAAAACTTCAAGGCACTAACTTATTATAAACTAGTGGGAAAATATTCATTTACAATTGTGCAATCAGTTTCCTTTGACTGAGTTAGCTGAAGAACTTATTATTTGTAAATCTATTGTTTTTTGTGAGACTTGTCAGATGAGGGTAAAAAAGAAAAGCTAACTGTGGGCTATAATTATCAAATAAAATATAAAAAAAATTAAAGTTTAAATATCCTTTCCCTATATTTATAGAATGTGTCTGTCTAACTGTCTGTCTCACCAGGTGCTGAAAACTGTAATAGCCAAGCCTCAGATGATGATAACAGAAGGTAATACAACTGGGAAGCAGATATTTTATGTATGAAGCAGACATGTTCTTCTTCTATATTTATAGATGCAAATGTGTTGTTTTTTATATATGAAAGAGATATTTGGTGGATGAAACAGGCCTTTGTTTTATGAAACTGAAACTTTTTTTATTTTTTATGAAACAGACATCTGATGTATGCAACAGACATTTGATGTATGAAATACACATTTGATATATGAATACATTTAAGTTTGAAATATAAATTTGATAAAGGAAATAGACATTTGATCTATGAAATAAACAATGTTTTGTATGAAACAGGCATTTGATGTAGATTCCCTCTTTGAGGGAAGTCTAGTTGATCATGGCTGTTTGGTAAATTGTATATTTCCAGTCATGTTTATTTTCCATTGAAGGCTTTCTGCAGAGCTTACAAATGATCAACACAAGAAGGCTGGTCAACATAGATACTGGCCAATTGCTGGAGGATGTGGTCCCTGTTGTAGAACCTATTACCCAGGAGAGGGATTGTAGAGGGGAGGAGAGTTATGTCCCCTGGCCGACTGACACCATATTTTCTAGATTAAAGCTGTTTGAGAAACTTGTGAGTATAGCAATTAATTGAACAGTTAGATCAGGGGTCTCAAACTCAAATCATCTGGGGGCCGCAGCAGGTAGAGTCTCATTAAGACTGGGCCGCATCAAGTATTCCTAAAATAAGAGATTACAAATTCCTTAAAGTACAGCTGTTACAACCTGCTCAACCTTTATTAATTTAAAAAAAAAAACATTAAGGGATCTCAAGAACTAGGCTTCTTTTTTACTTCCTCCTACTCCTTGTTGCCAGAGACCTGGCAGCGCTTCTTACACAGCTGAGCAACATTTGGCTTGAGTGAGGAAGCTACCTCAATATAGCTTGAAGATGCTCATCAGTAAGTTTCGCTCTGAACTCTGAAGTTCATAGTGGAAAAGAGCTTTTCACACAGATAGGTACTCCCAAAAAGGCACATGATCTGCTTGAACAACCTGGAAATCTCATGGAATGTGGAGGGCAATTCTCTCATAAATTTTCCAAGCTTGTCTGTTTTTCCATTCACCCCTCCTGAACTTAGCCTTATGTTCAGAATTGCAATGAAGATCAATCAACTCCATATGAAGCGCAAAGGGGGCATCTCCACATTGAATGAGAAATGGTCACCAAAAATTTGAAAAGTGGCTCTGTGTGTTTTGGACCTGAGATCAAATTCTTTCTGTAGCTTTGCAATGGCATCAGTATACTTACTACTGAATGGTACACCCGAGTCCATGTGTTCTTTGCATGTTGGGAAATGGCAGAAGTTTCTCTGAGAAAGCTGGCCTTTCCATTACACAAGTTTTGTGCTGTATGCCCTGACATTGTCAGAGGTAACACTGACAAGCTGCCCCTGGCCTTCTAACTTCTTGTTGAGTACATTCAGCTCCTGTGTAATATCAACAAGTCCATGAGCCATTTGGGATCACTTTTTACAGAAACAACCACCCCATCCTTCTCCATGAAGACTTTGATTTATGCTCTCAGCTCAAAAAACCTTTTTAAGACGTTTCCCCTACTAAATCAGTGTACCTCAGTGAAGTAGATAATATCCTCATATGTTGACTCTATTACCTTTAAAAAGGCGCGGAACGACTGTGCTTCAGGATTTAAACCTAATGACTGCATTTACTGCCTCTCTTTTGACTGCAAACATAAAAGGTGTTTGTGTTGTTGTCACTGCAGAATATTGTATGCTCCTTAGTACTTAGGATGTTTGAGGCTTTCCATCTGATCTCCAGCAGTGCTGCAACTATGATTCTATATCTTAGTAATTCATCACTGAGGCGGGCCAATGCTCCCGCTCTATGTCGACAGTACATTCCAGTTCGCTATCTGAATATCATATTTTTGTTCAAGCAGAGGTCAAAATCCAAAATTATCAGTCCGTTTTTTCGTATGAGGTTTAGCATTTGTAACACTTGATTTTTTATGTGACAGGGTCGTTAGCCCTATGCACAACTGTCCCTGGTACCCTCCATATCTGGAAGTTCAGTATCTCCTCATGAGACAAAGGTCATATTATTGTTAATTAAAATTATTGCTGGATGTAAATTTTGTATCTTACCTTACTGATTTCATTGTTCTTCTACAGCAAGACATCAGCTTTGACATTTCTGATTTGAATGCACAGGTTGTAAGAGAAACCAAGCAAAGGTAAACGGTTATATTCCTTAATCTGATCGTGTGTCATATGTCCTAAATCTGATTGTATATGCCATGCAATTTCATTAATCTGTTTGCTTAGACCAGGACATTTCATTAATCTGACTGTTTAGGCCATGACATTTCATAAATCTGATTGTATATGCCATGAAATTTCATTAATCTGATTGTGTATGCCATGACATTACATTTATCTCATTCAGCCTGCCATGATATCTGATAAGGCCTGTCATCATATCTCATGAATCTGATTAAGCCTGTCATCATATCTCATGAATCTGATTAAGCCTGTCATCATATCTCATGAATCTGATTAAACCTGTCATCATATCTCATGAATCTGATTAAGCCTGTCATCATATCTCATGATTCTGATTAAGCCTGTCATATCTCATGAATCTGATTAAGCCTGTCATCATATCTCATGAATCTGATTAAGCCTGTCATCATATCTCATGAATCTTTTTAAGCCTGTCATCATATCTCATGAAGCTGATTAAGCCTGTCATCATATCTCATGAATATGATTAAGCCTGTCATCATATCTCATTAATCCTATTAAGCCTGCCATGATATCACATTGAATTTGTTGGTAGGTAAGCATGTAATTCAGTGTAGTTATCACAACTGTTGTCTGTTTGCAGGAGTTTGTCTGTTTCTCTACGACTTTTTCACTTGGGTTTTCACAACCAGTCTTTCTGGCAGGCTACTGATATCAATTGTAATGTGTACCTGGAAGGTAAGTTGTCAATCAGTTCAGACTTTATTAACCATGTGTTCCAGGAATGTATTTTATTATATAAAATAAAAAAAAATATAATGAAAAAATAATGATTATGAACTATTAACATCATTTTTGTTATTTTATTAACCAGACTTGTACCCATCAACGTTTTGACATTTTATAGATTGAAACTATTACTACTTCCTTATAAAACTGGTCTCTGTATGTGTTCTCTGAAACCGCTTTCTAAAATTACTCTCTATAACTGGTCTCTGTCACTGCTCTCTGTAACATGGTCTCTGTCACTGCTCTCTGTAACTGGTCTCTGTCACTGCTCTCTGTAACTAGTCTCTGTAACTGGTCTCTGTCACTGCTCTCTATAACAAGACTCTGTAACTGGTCTCTGTCACTGCTCTCTGTAACTAGTCTCTATAACTGGTGTCTGTCACTGCGCTCTGTAACTGGTTTCTGTAATTCTTCTCTTTAACTGGTCTCTTTCACTGCTCCCTGTAACTAGTCTCTGTAACTGGTCTCTGTCACTGGTCTCTGTCACTGCCCTCTAAAACTAGTCTCTCTAACTGCTTCCTGTCACTGCTCTCTATCCCTGCTCTCGGTAACTACTTCATGTAAAGAAAATAGAGAAAAACTGAAATTTCGGCTTCGGTTCGGCGCTGAAAGTAGCCATTTGATCACTTTCGGCCTAGTTTTGGTTTCGGTCGAAACTGAAAAGTTAACTTTCGGCTTAATTTCGGTTTTAACATAAAGAGAAAAGTTAACTTTCGGTTTAATTTCAGTTTCAGCCGAAATTGACTGAGACTTTTGCCCATGGGCCGAAAGTGACGGAGGTTTTCGGTCATCTACCAGAAGACAGACTGCCTGTCTGTCTCTAGGCTGACAATCTGATATCCATTAATGCTCAACGTCTTACTGTTATTGTATGTTATATGACTAATACTCAGCGAAAGCTGCCCGCAGTTGCATGATGACCTACTGGTCCTATATTTCCATAAAATTACATTTCAATTAGGCCTAGACAAATGTCAACAATTTTGTGGAAGAAAAACTAAGGGAATGGTAATATTTTTATCATCATTTTTGTTTTAATTTTTTTTCAAAAATAAAATTTGGAACCGAAGGTTTATTCAATTCTTTCATTTGTGATATTTATTATAATTTATCATTATCATGCTCATCAGTGTTGTCATAGCCAACTTAGGCCTTTTCAAACCATTAATTTCTTGAAATTCATCATTATCACGCCCATAAACATTGTTATTGACAAAATAACATAAGTATGCATGTATCACAGGTTCGTATTATAATGATGTAGTAAGGCTACAGCAGACCTGTTTACTTATATGATCTTGGCGACAATTTACATGTTTTTACGATTTTGTGTGGAGACCGGTCAGAACAACAATTTTAAGCTATTTATGTAAACACAAAGCATTTGTATGACGAAAACAGCGAAACATTGTGGTGATATTTTTATAGCCTTATAACATTTATTTAGGTGGCTATTTGCTCTATGAGAGCAACAATAATTATTGTAGGTATATGTTCTAGTTTGTAATTATATTGTAAAAGAAAAGGTCTATTTTGCATTAATTGTTTCCCCCCCCCCCCTTTTTTTTTTCTCCAAATATTCTCCTACCATATTAATTTAAAAACATGTTAAAGAAATTTAAATTACTTTATATTAAAATGGTAAAAACCAAAGAATTTATTAGTTCATGGGTCTTAAACTCAAATCATCCAGGGGCCGCAGGAGGTAGAGTCTGATTAAGACTGGGCCGTATCAAGTATTCCACACAAAAAGCGATTGAATATTCATTAAAGTAAACTGTTACAATCTGCTCAACCTTTATAAAGAACAAATAAAAACATTAAGGGTTCTCAAGAACTAGGCTTTACTTTCTTCCATCTACTCACTGTTGCCAGAGACCTGGCAGCGCTTTTTTTTTACACATCTGAGCAACTTTTGCCTGAGTGAGGAAGCAACTGAGACCCTCAGTATACATTGAAGATGCTCAGTAAGTTTGGCCCAGAACTTTGACTTGTTAAAGTGCATAGTAGAAAAGAGCTTTTCACACAGATAGGTACTCCCAAAAAGTCATATGATCCGCTTGAACAACCTCGAAATCTCAGGCAAAGTAGAGGGCAGTGCAATAAAATGTCCATTCTTGTCTGTTATTCCATTCACCTCCCTGCGCGGGGCACCTTGCACATTAAAGGAGAAAGGGTCAGCAAAAAGTGAAAAGTGGCTGTCTGTGTTTTGAAGTCTAAAAAATATGATCAAATTCTTTCTGTAGCTTTGCAATGACATCAGTATACTTACTAATAAAGATCAATACTCGGAGGTTGAGAGTCTATCTCTTATGACCTTAGGCCGTGAAACATAGCCTAGTAGTCCCTTGGGACTCCTGCCATGCAACTCGGCCTTGAGTAAAAGGGTTCTGGGCATTACTTCCACTCTCCAAGGGCCGGCTTTGCGTCACCACCCCCGGTGCCCAGTGAGTCATCCGGTCGGGACGTTAGGGTTTGAACGGCTTTGCTACCTCTCCGGAGGTGACGTGGCGAAGCCACCCCCACCGTCCAGGGAGATGTGCCTTCCTTGGTGTGGGACGGCTTTACTTCCACTCCGGGAGTAGTCACGAGCTTAACTTTCTCCCACCGTTCCTAAGAGTTGTGCGAGCAAGTTTGGTTCCCAACGAATTGTTTCCCCCCGGGGAGGCGTTGCGTTGCCTCAAACCCGCATTTCTCCGGGAGCGTTTCGGACAGGACTGTGAAAGGGTCAAAACGGCTTTTACTTCCTCTCCGGAGGAGGCGTTGCGTTACCTCAACCCACCGTTCTGGGAGTTGTTCGGGCTGGACATGGCGAGGACGAAACGGTCGCCTAGGGGCGGCTTTCTCAGGGATCCTTACATAAAAAAATCCCACTTGACCCTTTTCTTATGTTCTAGTTCTAGCATTTTGTTATAACAAAATTACTTACCAGATCAACAATTTTTGTGTAGGTGATCCAGCACAAGATGGCTGAAATGAAGTCGGACATTGCAGTTGGCAGGGCTTTTGTGGATCGCTGCATTGAGCTGCACAATGAGAAGAAACTTGATGGAAGCACAGCATCAGTGGCTAAGTATTGGTAATGGTTGATTTTTTTATACAAACATAAGTTTGTTTCTCTGACCATTGATTAGGCTGCACAGACCACAGTGTCATCTGTTGTTTTTTTTTCTTCCAACAATTAAGACTGTATAGGCTCATTAAAACTGTTTCCATAAAGATTGATTTTAACAGTAATTTAGCTTAGCATGGTTAACCAGTGTTAATAAAGTAATTAATTTTTTACCTTAGAAGTTATTATGTTGTCTAGTGATAATAGTGTTGTAAAATGAGCTGTCTAGAATTTGAAAACCAACCGTCTACTATGATTTAACTGGTACCATATTTTGAAAAAAGAGCAACATGGGGAGCATAAGAATTTTAGAAAGGCTTAGGTGGGGCATGGCGCAAAAAAGGTTGGGAAACACTGATTTAGACCTTTTTAAATTAAATTGTCTTAAAATCAGTTTCATAAGTACACAAAGCACTGTTGTAACATTTAATGAATATTAATTAAATACTTCATGTGTAATTGATCCACAGGGTCTCTGAACTCCAGAATAAAATTGCTAACCAGTGTGTCCAACTTCATGGAGGTTGGGGCTACATGATGGAGTACCCTATTGCCAAGGCTTATGTGGATGCTAGGGTCCAACCCATCTATGGTGGCAGCAATGAAATTATGAAAGAGCTCATTTCTCGCCAGATTTTTAATTAAACATGACCACTGTTGAATATATTAATGAAAATGATTCCCACATCTAATACTGTTGGTGATTTTCATGATTATTGTTTGCACCCTATTATATTTTAGCAATGTTAGAGAAAAGTCGGTGTTTCTATAAAGATTAATAATGTCAACATGATTAATTTATATACACAATTATGAAATTTTGTACAGTAAAGCTTTGTTATGTGTCATTCATAAAGCTGGAATGTATTTTCATATGTGAATGCTTTGATTGTTTTAAAGTTTTTGATTTAAACAAAGAAGCCTGTTGGTGAAAAATGCAATGGCTGTTTTCCAAAATTAAGGACTTACTGTTTTTACACCCTCATAATCCTTTGTGAACTTTATAATACTTCATCCCATACTGCGTCTTTGATACATGTTATATCTGTTTTACACACCAGTTATTTATTTCTACTTCTTTTCTATGAGATGTTAAGCAGCTTACATAAAGGCCTACAACTACTTAGTTTGACTTTGCTCTCTTAACCAAACAGTTGCATCTATTTTTGCTGTCAGATTTTAAAATATTTTTCTGGAAATTTCCTTAGTTTAGTTATGTTTCATGTTTTTACTTGCTTTTTAAAACATATTAATAGTCCCATGATGAATTTAATTTGCTCTATGAAGTGATTTATTTTTTACTACTTATTTCATATTTTCATTTGTCTAGCTCAGGCCATCTCTACTCGAATTGCTGCCATATACTAAATCTACTGTTTCACTTATGATATCTTATACATGATTTGTTGATATATGGATTGTGATAACTTATAAAAATTCTTTCTACATGTTTTGGGATACACAATGATTTATATAATAAATATGTTTTTTTTAGTTATGCCAGTGTTGTTTTTTTCCAATTCATTTAGAATGATTTGAGACTGAAATACACACATCGTATATCATCATATATTTAAAAACGTATTTATTCATTGCCATTTAAATTACTGGCAGTATCACAGAGTTTTAAAAAAATATTACATCAAAAGACAAAGAAATAAATGCGCTTAAGACATAACTGGAATGTGTCACAAAAAAGGCTATAGCATACTTTGCATTATAATGTAGATATTTCAGGTACATTTTACCAATTAATTTATTTAGACGATTAAAAATGTGAAATAGAACAATTACAGTAAAATACAGATTGAAAAAGTTAGAATTTGTTACCTCATTAAAAATGTTTTTAAAAAAAACGTGACAAAAATACAATTACAGATTACTTGCAAATTAAGAAGTACGTAAAGCACAAAACTTGCTTTGGTTGCCACTTTATAAACCAGGACATTTAATGTTTATAAAAAAATTCCCTTGATAAATATCAATGATAGTAATTGATATCCTCTTAAATTTCTTAAAAGCACAATTATTAATATGAATATTGTCAGGTAAGGAGTCAAGTGACCAACTGTTAAATAGTTAGGAAACCCATGTTATCTGACACTAAATATGCTTACAAGAAGTTCAGCTTCTGTTAACGCTACAGACATCTGAGTGTTGGTTATGTCATCTGTCATTCATGTTACTGTTTATGTTTCTATAAATAAACTTTCAAAATGGTAGGCTTAAGTTATAGGCATTTATTCGTATTTTAAAATGATAAAAAGGCAAATATTTTATCAATATATTGAGGCATAAATAAGATTACATGATAAAATAATCAGCTATAAATCCTTTACTACAACTGCAAATTGTTAACTGGCAGGTTATCTAGTTCAGATTTGTAATGTCCTTTTGGAATCGGAAAGTCAAATACAATAGGTTTATTTTTCAGCTTGTAGGCGATAGTGCAATTTGATCCATTAATGAAAACTGTCTGCCCATCTGTTGTGATACCGTATCCTGTTGAATAAACAAGTATGGGCAATTACTAAACTCTTGCGTAACATGACAGTACTCCAGATGTGACATTCTTATGTAAAAAGACACTAACTTCTTTATTAATTCCATTTACAACTTAAACTATTTGCACAGACATAATTTTAACAAATACCTTCATGTATGTGTCCAAACAAATGGTACTTTGGCTTGACTCGTGTTTGTACTGTTGTCAAAAGCTCTACACACCCTGCCCTGAGTTTATTACTACATAAGTCCCCATGACCTGAACAGTTGAAAAGCAACAGACAATTTTAAAAAGAAAAATTTTAAAAAGCTGCTTTGTTATCTTTAAATAAAATAGTCCAGTGTATTTGTTTTCTTTGAAGATACAAAAAAAGAATACACTTCTTCAAAATATTTGTTATTGTTTTGTACAAGTTTTAATGTTATCAAGAATTATTCTTTCTCAACATCCGAGGTAGGATTTCTCATTTTATTGAAAAATTTTGGTGAAATATAATTTTAAATTTATGTGTTTACAATTTAGTTTGTAAAAATCCTTATCTATAAGGATTACCTAGCGGAGGACCATGTGTCATCAGTATGTCTGTGTCTTCAGGTATAAGGTCCCATTTCTCTAAACAAGCTTCTCCCCGAGGTAGATTGAAAGCCCAAGAGCAAAACTCAGGTTGCCTGCATCATATGAATAGCTAACTTTTTAGAAGAGGTTTTCAAAATTATTTAAGACACAGCAATAAAGGCATGCTTCTGTCATCTGCGTGCCCTGGGTCAGCTGCATCCTCAACTCAGGAGAACAGCCAATGCTGTAGCAATAACTCTAATCCAGTCAAGATTAGATTATTGTAATAGTTGTTTATGGGGTTTACCTCAGAACCAAATTCAGAGACTCCAAAAGATACAAAATACTGCGGCACGCATTGTATCGTGGATGAAAAAATCTGACCACATCACCCCAGTTCTACGAGATCTCCATTGGGTTCCTGTGAGTGAGCGCCTTAACTACAAAATTTTTTCCCTGGCGAACAGCTGCATAGATGGCTCAGCACCGGAATATCTCAAGGAACTGATTTATAAACATGAATCCTTGAAGAGCCTGCGGTCTTCTTACAACACAGGCCACAAAGCATCACAATGAATATCAGTCTTGACTCCACTAAATCTCTTCTAGCATACTTTACACCAATTTGGAGGCTACTTTATTCCAATGAGATACTGGACAATGAAAAAAGACTGTTTGCAGTGCCCACTTCCTTAGTGAACTTTAAAGAATTCTAATATGAAAAATAAAAATAATAACTGTGTATGGGAGTTTTATGACATGGCTCTGCCGGTGGTGTTTCAGAGCCCTGAAAAAGACCCCTGATTTGTGAACTATGTTATTTCAGAAAGGGACACCTGATTAATAATATCTTGGTGCCTTCATACCCTTTCAATCCTTATTGTCTCATCCATCTGTTATTGTTTTCTCTACTATCTATGGATCATGGAAAACACTTTCTTTGAATCGCACAAACTGGAAAGTTGACTCACTATTGGAACACACTCTTCAGAGAGTCAACATACCGCCCACGCTCAAAGAAAAGGCATATTGTGGAAAAGAAGAATTGCCTCCAATATCCTTAGATGCCAAAACACATGCCATCCATGCAGGCGAGCTTTCCTGTCCCAAATAGGACATGCAAGACACCTGCATACTCAATATCAAATACATTTTTTGTCATCTTACTAAGTAAAACAGAAAAAGTTGAAAAATGGAATAAAATCACGAGATGTAGAAATTTTTATAACTAAGACTCAGGCCCATGCCCAAATGTAAAGCCCCATAGATTCCAACTTTTTAGACCTGACTTAAACAAAAAATATTTTTAAAAAAGATGTAAACATTACTTACCATGGAGAGCCATAGATTTTAATGCCACAAATTTCAATACTTGAATCCATCAAATAAATGCAGTGTTTTAGAAGTTCTCTGCTAGACTTAACACCCAACTCTTCCAACACGTCTTCAAAATTATGTTTCTATTAAGAGCAGAAGTAAATGTATACATATGTGCCACTTGTGTGAAAGTAAATAAACTTATTGGGTTACCCTAACTGTAGACTGAATGTAAACTGCCTGTGCTCTCTGGCAAAAAATGTGTAGTAACCAATAGATGTAAATTCGAAACATTATTTATGAGATTGCAAATTATGGGATTCAATTATTTGTTTCTTCTGTGTAACTTTATTCCTTAAAGGCCATGTGGTATCCTTAGAATATAATAGTTTAGTGATAAATATTGACATATGCTTGTTAAAGGTTCAAGATGTATATAAATATGCCAATATGCTAGGTCTATTCGCCTCTTACCACAGTTTATTCATATTACTAATGACCAAGTTTTTAATTTGGTTCCACATGTGTCCACTAACTGCTATGTAACAAAATGGATAAATGCTTGGACTAGTTTGAAAGAAATCCAAACCCCTTATATTATTATTTTATTGTTATTAGTTAGGTTTCCCTTGCATTTGTAAGGGGTCGTTCGTAAATTATGTCACGCTAAAAATAATCTTTTTGGACCCTCCCCACCCGTCACGAAGTGTCACAAATTCTATATGCATGTTATTCCCATAGCAATCATTTTTGATATAATTAAGGCATTCAATGGACTTGAAGAGCTTTGGTTAAAGCTGGTCTTGTGATAAATGATCTTGTGATCTGCAGGCAGAAAAGTAGGGACAGGTGGATAGGTGGATCAAGACTAAGATGGATTGACAATGTAGAGAAGGACAAAACCATGGAGGCAGAAAGCTGTGGATTGATCTGAATGGAAGGAAGTGGTGGAGCAGGCCAGGGTCCTAAAAGGGTTCTAACGTCACTGATGATGACTACAATTTTTAAATACAATTGTAAACTATAATTTCAATATTTTATTCATTAGAGTTAAGCAGACCACAAGCAGTTTCAGCAGACCGACAACAGTCTGTGGACTCTCACATGAAAACCACTGCGCTTGCAAATGGTGGTGTCAAAACAGTAGAAAAATCTGCCCTGCAGCCCTGTCATTAGTCACATATACCACGCACAGTTATCAATACAGACCTGTATCATGAACTTTGTTCTCAAAAGATTTACATTCTTAACCATCTCCTCGTCAAGTGTGTTGTCATGATTTCCAGCTATTACAATCTTGACTTTAAATGGCAGACGGGCTGATAAAACAAAACAAAAAAAAAAGAAACAAAAGATCTTGTAAGGTGAAAACAGAACCATTTTACATATTGTAACAATTTATCAGAACTTTTTTGAAATGTCTTAAGTAAATTGACTAAAGGTGCCATGTAAATATTGTATTTCTATGTCATGTATGATGCCCTAACTCACTTGCCAGTTTTATCCTTGAATGAATGCTTGATTTCACCTTATTTCAAGTTAGATATTCTAAAGTTTCTTCTTCAATCAGGAACTATGTTCAGAAAGCATTATTTTAGAAATGAATAGGATAATAATCTACCTAAAAAGCTGTCAAAATCCTGAATGGCTTTAGGTAGGCCAACTGAAGTAAGATCGCCAGCGTGCAAAAGAACATCTCCGGGGGGAACAAAGTTATCCACTTTTTCCACCAAACTGTGTGTGTCAGAAAGAAACACAAAACGAATTTTGTCTGGAGAGATGGGCGTACCTGGGTCTAATGGTTCCAAAGTTTTCACAATCTGAAAATTATTTAAATTAGCATTGGAAAAATTGGCAAAACTTAGTTATAAAAGCAGCTGTAACTTTATTAGATATTGAACTATTCAAAGCATGTGGTCCTGACAACATCAAACTTCCATTGCTCAAAGAATTAGCCAAAGAAATCGCTCCTGCCCTGACAATCCTCTTCCAATCATCGCTGTGCACAGGAAATGTTCCAGCAGACTGGAGAACAGCGCATGTCACTCCAATCTACAAGAAAGGGGAGCCTTCTGACCCTGCCAACTATCATCCGATATCTCTCACCAGCGTGGTCTGCAAACTGTTGGAGCACATAATCATAAGCACAGTCATGAAGCATCTTGAAAGCCAAAATATTCTCAATGATTGTCAACATGGCTTCAGAATCAATAGATCATGTGAGACCCAGATCCTTGATTTTGTAGAAGACTTGATGACCAATCTGGAGAACCACAAGCAAACTGATGTGCTGGTGATGGACTTCACAAAGGCATTTGACCGTGTCAATCATAGTTTGCTTCTACACAAACTCCAGATGTATGGGATCCAAGGCACCACTAAAACATGGATCTCTAGCTTCCTCAGCCACCGATGCCAAGCGGTAGTGGTGGATGGTACAAGCTCCTCCTTTGTGAATGTGAAGTCAGGGGTCCCCCAGGGATCAGTGTTAGGCCCCTGTTTGTTCCTAGCATACATAAATGACCTACCCGAGAAACTGACATCCCAAGCAAGACTGTTTGCAGATGATACAGCGGTGTATAGGACGATCGCCAACAGATCTGACCAGGACCAGCTACAACAAGATCTCAATCGGTTAGCTGAGTGGGAGATGAGCTGGGACATGGAAGTTCACCCTGCCAAGTGCCAGACACTATCAGTCTCTAGAAGTTGTACTCCTCTACACTACCAATACGAACTGCATGGCCATATACTTGAGACAGATTCCTCAGTAAAGTACCTGGGTGTTACCATTCAAAGAGAGGTTCGCTGGGACCAGCATATTAAAAATGTATGTAACCAAGCAAACAAGACCCTGGGATTCTTAAAACGTAACATGAAGATTGGCAACTCCTGTGTAAAAGAAAGAGCATATAAAGCGTTTGTCCGTCCGATTTTAGATTATGCATCTTCAGTCTGGGACCCATTTACCCAGAAGAGCATTGACAGGTTGGAGGCGGTCTAGCAACAGTTGGCTCGCTTTGTCCTGAACCGATACAGGAATACCTCTAGTATTGGCAGTATGCTGGAAACACTAGGCTGGTCACCATTGGAGGAACGACGACGACAATCCAGGCTCTCCATGATGTACAAAATAAATAATGGGCTGGTCCACTGTTCCAGTATTAAACAGAAACTCGACCCTCTCCCCCATAGACAGCGATGAGGCCATGACAGGCAATTCCGGCTCATACCTGCAAGAAGCCAGTGTAGGAGCTGCTCATTCCTGCCCAAGACAATTAGGGACTGAAACAAGCTTTCAAAAGAAACAGTTGAGGCGACAACACTAGACACATTTATGTCTATTGCCTCAAGCCTTCCAACCCCCATTGCATGATTCCTTCACAAAGTAGCACTTGTAATCAATGAAATATCCTCATCAGCACCAGGCACAGAAACATTGCAAATCCCTTCTACATGCATAGGAGCCAAAATGATCAATAAATTGATCGTGGGCCCTTAATATATAGAAGAAGAAGAAGAAAAGATTCATTCTTTTTAAAAAAGTGAGACTTTTATTATTATTATCATTATACCTGTTTTACTTTCAGTTTTTCCCATGCTTTGGTTGGATCCCGGGTCAGTGGGTGCATTGGTACTTTAAACTTTTGCTCAGCATCAGAAGATCCAGAGAGTTTCTTATGTACCCCTGAAGTCAATTTCTTCAAATGGTTCATTGTGATGATCTATGTTAAAGCATACTCCTAGATTTTTATAGAAAAATAAAATCTAAAACTTAAATCAACAACAAACAATAATATATATGGTTGCTAAGTAATTAATTAAAATGCCACAAAATCTGAGACAAACTATTTTCTGGCCCAACCTATAGCTATAAGATAAACCTACAAATTCTACATTGTAGTTGAATGCAGAGCATTGATTCAATTAAATATCATCCAAATAATCAATTAAAAACGTGAAAATCAAACAGTTGAAACAGATAAATGCATAGGGTAAAAAAAATATTTACAAATTATAAGTAAAGGTAAAAAAAATGTCTCGTGAATGGTAGAATTGGGCTCAATATTTAGATACACACAAAAATCTTAGTTTCAACTAAAGAGCTCTATAATTATTGTTACTCATAGCCTCTGAGAAGAATAAACAACAATATATGATATCATTGATTGTTTAAATTAATATAAATCAAAATCATTAATGTGAGAGTCTATAGGGCATATACCTTATCTTATTATATTTTGAAGTACAATGTTTACCTTTAATTTAAAAAAAAAATTATATTTAAGTCTGGAGATTTAATATTTTTAAATCATTGGTAAAAAGTGCAAGTTCATTTAAAAAAAAAAAAAATTGGACCTGATATTAGTATACTTATTAATACACTTTTAAAAAAAATATTAGTATGCAAACTGGCAAGCTGAAATATTAATAATTAGTTTTGCAATTTTGTATGGCCTACTTGGTATTAACAATAAAACTAAAATAACGATAAGAGTCTTATCAAGTTAATTAAGACGGTAACTTTCTTCCGTGGGAAATGTATACAAGTACAAGTTCTTTAGCTAGTTAGAGTTTGGTTTGTCATTCAAACAGAATGGGACTTACTGTAACGGTGTCAAACGAAAATATCTGCAATGATCACAGTCACATCCTATGAATGTCCTATCGTTATAGCACTTCACAATAAATGTCTTTACATTGAATTATAATTGATTAAA